AATCCTTTTCAAAATGGATTCATGCAGAAGATAAAGGCAAATTCTTCTGGGGGAAAAGCCACACAGGTTGATAGTTACAGAATGGGTAAGTTCAGTGTCCACAGTGAGGACAGCAAACAGCAGTCCCAGAACCAGTCTCTTCTCTTCTGCAAGTGAAGTGAGCAATGCCAGGGACCTCTCCCCAAGTGACAAACACAAACACTGTTAATTTCTTAGGTGCAAGTGATAGATGCCCCCCTCGGCTTCTAAACTTTCAAAAACTATTTTAAATATCAAACACAATTATGAGGAAAACAGAAAATAGCCTTCAAAGAGCAGGGTTTTCTTAAAGTTAATGTGCCTGCCCTGCTTAATCACAAGCTGAAAGGAGTACTTGATGACTAGTGTATACTTCAGTTAACACTATTTCATAAAACCTGGCTTGACAGAAGTATAAGATAAATTAATCAAATAATGCAAAAGTTGAAAGATGCACCAGCTGGCTGGTGCTCCAGCAGAGGTACACCAGCTCTGAGCAGCAGGCAAGGCTGCAGGAAAGGGACAGGCCAAGTGGGCAGTGCAGGTCCATGTTCAGTAGTGCTATGGGTCAGGGACTTGTTTTAGACTGCTCTGACCAAGACACTGCTCACCTCAAATCACCCCTGCTCTTTCGGGTGACACTGAGGGACACTGTGGAACATAAAGATCTAAAGACTCATTCTTACAGTTCAAGGTCAAGGACTCTCACAATGAATAGATATTATGATATTGAGTATTTAAGACTCACAGATGTGCTGCCTTGATGTTCAGTTTGCAGCTTATCAAAGCTTTATATGAAGGCACAATTTATAATGCCAAGTTAAAAGCTATTACAAATAAGAAACTGTTTCCTTTAAAAAAGATGTGAGAGAATATTATTTGTTTCCCCCAGAAATAGTGTGTATTCCTCTTCCTTACAGCATCACGGTAAAGAGTACTTCCTTATGACATTTGAAAATGAGCCAAACACCACGGAGGAGAGGTTTTTGTTTAGCATCAAGTCCTCATGCTCAAGTGTCCCGAAACAAAAAGCAATGCCTGTGATATAAACCACCACGTGAGAAAGTTTACAAAGTACTAAAGAATGATTTAAAGAATATTCCATTACTGACAAATGGTGCTAAGCAAGGCCTGGCCTGGGTTGGAAATATTCTATTCAGTACCCACAGGGCTCAAATGACTTTTGGTGGCAAGTGTGAATGGAAATCAGTAACACTTCTGACACAAGAATGTGATCAGAAATGTATTTGTCTCTGGCCACGTGAAGGGCAGAATGCTATCCTGGATATTACATAAAACATGAATTTACAATTTTGTCCATACCAAAACTTGAAATTAATAAATGAATTACAAAAATAAATAAAAGGGAAAGATTTTCACTACACAGAAAGTTTCTGCATGAGGCTCCAAGCCTGGTAATAACAGAAGTGGTCTTTACCATTTCTCTGTAGACTTAAGAGCAGGAACATAAACACTAAAAATACTTTGACCAACCCACTGCTACTGCTCCATCTTTTGTCATGTTACTTCCATATTTGTAAGGTACAGATTATTCACACACAATTTCACCTTTAGGTGTCCAAGACCATGCATACACAAAACAGAAATTAAAGCACCAGTGTTGGTTAGACTGGATGTTGAGAAGTCTGTAAAGTGATTTGACTCATTTCTCCATGCTTCAAGAATGTAAACCATTAGATCACTTTATAATCAGAAGTCTCCCAACTGTCTTTCCTTGTTCTAATGTTTGTCTTGCTCTTACATAACAAGCCTCCAGTGAAACCATCGCTACCTTAATCAAGAGTTGTCTGCACACAACCTTTGAACTGTTAAGTCCACTCAGCTCCTAATGGTGGAGTACCTAGGAGAAGTTGTTGACTCAGGATCTTACTGGGACCAGCTGCAAAAGTGTTTTTGGCAGAATGTACTTATTACTCTTGTGTCAAAACAATGAAAACCCCGGGCTAGCCCGTGGCCCAGGATACTCTTCCCCACTGAAACTGGTGGTGGTGACTGAGTGCTTCTACAGTGAGGCCACAAACCCAGGGTTTTGACACCACCTCCTGACTGGCCCTTGACCACTGTGTTACTGCAATCACCTATCAACAGCCCATCATTTACCAGAACTGGCACAGAAATGGGTTCCTCATTGCAGTAAAAGAAACTGAAGCCTATGAACACAGTTATTTCCTTTTACTGACATTATCCTTTCTCTGTCAGCAGCCCCATAAGTTTTTTAAACTCTTCAAAAATAGTTACAGAACACAGCACAGCCTTATTTACCCACCATCTTTATGGTCAGAGATTCTGAAGGACTGAAAATGGGAACACAGGTGCACCAGTCTATTTGGGGTTGCAATTTTCTTCTCTATTTCCACAGCAGAAACTGGGAGGACGCTGTCTGTGACCATGTCTTTGTCACTGTGGGCAGTAATTGCCAGCACAGCAGCACCAAGGGAACAGCTCTTCAGGCTCAGCAGGGCTGTGTGGCAGAGAGGCAGAGAGCTGCTCAAACACAGGTGGAAAGAACTCACTGTAACTCTCAGGTCAGACAGGTCACTGAGTGATAAATTTGGCCAACTCCAGGGTTAAGTGATTTCTGAGCAGAAATGTTTGGAATAATAATTTTGGTCGAAGGTACTGAAGCTCTGCCCAAAACTCCTTCCAGAGTTCAGATTCTCATCTACATCTGGGTTACCATAACATCTTTGGTCTCAAATTATGCTGCTGGAGAATGAGATTTGTATAAAGTCTTGAAAACATAAAAGCCTGAGCTCTGAAGCTGAAAGACTCTTCAGTCCAGTCATTACAGAAACATATCTGAGGTACTGGGGTTACTTTCACTATTATAAGGAAATAAATAGTTAGCATCATATTGCCTCACCAGCAAGAAAATTAATTGCATATTGAGTAAATAAAGTTCTCTTTGACTCTATTAAAATATTTTTTTACTTTGAAAACCAAATTATGTCTGTACAAAAGTCCCTCAGGTATCTCTTCATGCCTCCAGTTGAATCACTACTATCAAAATATTTAGTCATGATGTCTCCTGCCTCACCAACCATGTTCCCCATCTTCACCCTACTGAGAACTGAATGCTCTATCACTTTCCAAACCCTAAAATTCACAGATCCTGGTCCTCCATATCAATTACATCTATTGTACCTTTGGTCTTCTGTATCCCTACTGGCACCTCAGACATCTGGAGCTTCAGACATGCCAGGCTGTACCTTCCAGCTCCATAGTCCTTTCCCTCTTGAAATAGCCATAAATTAAATAAAAGGCATGTAAGAATGATCTAAACACATGCAATTATCCTATTTTGTAACCAAACAAAATATTATATCTCACACTACCAAAAGTCAATTAAAGCCATAGAGGGGTGTGATCACATTTAAAGTTCAGGATACTACCATGCATCCATACACTGTTGATCCCACTAAGCCTTGGAGTTTTTAATCACTATTGCAATGATACAAAATTTCAGTGCATATCCATGCCACTCATGTGACCGTAAAAACAGAACACACCTGGAGAACACCACAGGTCACCTGATTGCTGGTCTTGATCAGAAGCAGCACATGCAGAGAGCTTCTATCAAAAATGCTTGAGCTTTTTTATTAGTGTTCAATATTATACTGGATATTTCTTGTCAGCTGCCAAGGTTGAAGCTTTCTGTGCTCTACCTTGCACCAAATTATTTTGAAAGTTTAAACTAGAATGGCTGCAATTAAAAAACAAACAACAACAAAAAAAACTTAGGTAGAAAGACAAGTGGCTTTCCTCACAGGGAGAAATACCTAATTTGTTGAGAAAGTCTATTACCTTCCTGCTTTATCTGAGGTTAAGCAGACGGCTGGCTCCAGCATAATACTGAGTATCATCTGGTACAGAAAAGGACTTAAGGAGGAGAAATAAGTGGGGTAGAGAGACAAGATGAGGACAGCATTAAGGAATAGGTAAAATAAAGACAACAAAAGTTAAGGGTGTGTAAAGGTAATGTGAAAGACATGGGAGTAGAGAGAGGAACAATAGTGGTGACGGTAGAGGGAAGTATAACAGAGAGTAGGAACTCCAGGAGAGGAGGGTTAGCGGAGAAAAGGAAGGTTTTTTGGTGCAATACTTGATGAACTTCAGTGGCAGCCCCATTTCTGTTGCAGTCTTGCCAAACTCTCCCCGCCCACGGCGAGCCCGGAGCGCATTTCTGTCCGGCCCTCGGGGCTGCGGCGCCGAGCGGCACCGCCACCTGCAGGCGAACCGCCGCATCTGCACCCCTCGGGCCTGCGAGCGGCTCTCCTTCCTCGCCAGGGACACCGACCCCGGCACCGCTTCACGGGACACGGGGCCCGAATAAAGGACATTTATTATGTGCTGCAAAGCGCCGTGAAGCCTCTCAGCTGCATGGGAGCGACTGCGCCGGACCGGCACGGAGCCGGCCGGACCCCACTGAAGGGGCACGGAGCCGGCCGGACCCCACTGAAGGGGCACGGAGCCGGCTGGACCCCACTGAAGGGGCACGGAGCCGGCCGGACCCCACTGAAGGGGCACGGAGCCGGCCGGACCGGCACGGAGCCGGCTGGACCCCACTGAAGGGGCACGGAGCCGGCCGGACCCCACTGAAGGGGCACGGAGCCGGCCGGACCCCACTGAAGGGGCACGGAGCCGGCTGGACCCCACTGAAGGGGCACGGAGCCGGCCGGACCGGCACTCTGACAACACGGAGCGGAGCAGAGGCTGTGTGACCCTGCACAGTGCCTGCTAGAGCCAGCGTCACACGCAGCATGGAACGCTCCATCCCCAGATCCGCGGTGCCTGCCGCAGGGGGAACCCCAAGCCCAGAGAACTGCACCGCAAGTGTTATCACACACTGCTAGAGTCGGTCCAGGCCTAAGAGTATAATGCAATAAGTTACTCAAATGTTAGGCAAGCTCAGGATTTAACTTAGAAGTTTGTGATTATATAAAACACTTTACAAAATTAAATACCTTCAGAAATATTAATTTAGTTTCATGACATCCCAGTGAAATATCAATTATTGTATTTATATTATCCAAGAGAAAACTTCAGGCAATAATTCAATATGGTACGGAACTTCACTGCAAGTCCTCTAAGGCTGTTTACCAATGTCCTTCTTGGTTTCATCCTTCCTCTTCTATTCCTGGCTTTTATACTGGGAAAAAAAAAAAAAAAAAATTGTGGGAAAGAGCACATAACTAAGTCAAAGTTCATAACATCAAGGACATACAACTCTCCTTCATGATCCACATAAATTTATGTCCATTTTCTTTAAGTTAGATTGAAATTTGATAGGCTTTCCCTTTGCAGTACAAAACAAATCAGGCACAGTTATTGACTAGATTGTACCTGCTGGGATTCAGTTACTGATAAAATATGATAATCTGTGACTAATCTGTGCTTGCTCCTGTAACAATTCTCATTTGGATTTCATGGACTGGCAGAGAGAAGGACTTAGCAGTCACTTAGTAAATTAAATCATAGATATTTAGAGATCAAGCTGAACTTTTGACTTGTTTCATTATACACCATGTTAAGGTATCACACTCCCCAGCCAGACTGAAATACCAGGAAGCACAGGTGACTCTCAGCTGGCTAATGGAAACCATCCTCATTTTTTTCACCTGAGAAACCAGTCTGACAGCACAGGGGAGCTCAGCACCACAGCTCTGCCCTTGTGTGGTCTGTCCCTGATCTCTGCAGCCATGGGCAAGGTCTGAGGAAAAGCAGCTGTAGTTCTGGAAGTTCATGTAAATTGTCTGAAGACATCTGTCAGGAAAGCAGATGATGCATAGCAAGATGTGTTTTGCAAAATGCTGTATTTTAATTTTTTCTTCTATAATAGAGTGATACTAGCTGCCACTGCTGATATTTAATATAATTCTTCATGGAAAAAAAGACTCACACAGAGACAAACCTAAACTGTTATTGGTTCTGAAAAAACCCCAATATTAGTTTAGACTGACAAAGAGAATTTTTAAACAAAAAGTGTCTCAATCACAGATCCCTCCTGGCCAGGTATTTTCTTTCACCCAGACACTTCAACATGCAGGACAGCAATTCCCTAATCAGAACTTGCTTTCCAATATTTTCTTTTTTGTTCTGAACTGAAATCCAAATGCAGACAATCTGAAGCACTTACTTTATTCATCACCCAGTCAGCATCTTCAATGGCTCTCTTAATGATCTGCTGGATTCGCTCAGGATCATCTTCATCAGCATGGACTTTGAAACTCTGCAACATTCCAAATGTCACTGACTTGTCAACATAACAGTTGTCAAAATAAAGACCATGTTTAAATCTCAAAAAAAATATTTTTTGCAAATAAACTGCTGGTCTGAAAAGGTAAAACTACACATTGTAACACCTGGCCATCCTCTTCCCATAACAAATCTGGTCATAAAGAATTTCATATTAAGTATCCTACTCCTTTCATAGGTCAACAACAAAACCCAAAAAATGGGGAAAAGAACTTAAATTCAGAACAATTGAAATTGTCTGGTACGTCGAAACTAGAAAGATACAGGCCAACAGGTATGATCATAGGCATGAAATTACTTCTATATGAAGTATGGAATTTGAACAATCAGATGACATTTACCCATATGGGGAGATATATAAATGACAATATATAAACTATATATAATATATATAAACTATATATAATATATATATTATATATATAATATATTATATATTATATATATATATATATATATATATAAACTGACATAGAACCAGTAGGTTTCAACATAAAAGATGTATTTATGGAGTAAGTAATGACTGTTCACTCTCTTGACTAACACAAAAATTAGAGATGAAGCCAAGAAAAACAGGTGTCAGATGCAAAGCAAACAAAAAGAAATGGTCCTTCACACACTCCCATTCTAACCCTCCAAATGCAGCAGGGTGCCAAGCTCGCAGGAGGAGCACGATCGGGCTGACCTACCTGTCTGATGGCGTGCCGGTAGTGCTGGCGGATGGGGCCGGGCGGCAGGCGGCGGCAGCAGCGGAGCAGGTACCGGTACAGCTGCACCGAGCTGCGCACCAGCTCCGCCTCGGGTAGCGGGGACATGGCCGGGCCCGCCCTCGGCTCTGCAACACAAACAGGCACAAACATCGTCAGTTCCACCGACAGCACGGAAATCAAAGCGCCAACGAACAGAACACAGCGAGAACAGCGCCGGCAGGCTGAGGATCGGCAATAACCTGCGGAAACTTTAGGTGAAACCCCAACATAAAATCAATGAGAACTTGCTGAGTTTATGGACAGACGGGGGTTGGGTGCCACTGCTCAAGGGAATAAAACACAAAGTGTGGAGCTCGCTCCAGAGCATCACTTTGAGATGGGAACAGCCACGTGTGCCAGTGTTGTACAGAGAGCCAGTGTAACTTTCTTTGAGTACCGAGACCTGTATCACAGCCCACAGCGAGGTTCCTACTAGCTAAGCCAGGATCCTTAAAGTCCTTCAAACTTACAGTGCTTTCCTTGAGCATCCCTAGCTCATCCACATGGTGTCCTTTCAGAATGAGGATACTCATAATGGCTACAAACGGTGCTGGAATTTAACAATATTTCCTATTTTGTCATTCTGTCAAGAATTTCAAGGCTTCAGCTGGAAATGACATGGATAAATAGAGGAGAAGGCAGGAAAAAACACTGTTAGGTTTGAAATTTTACATGTATTGGTAACAGCAACAGGAAAAGAACAAATCTACCAAGTTTCACTTCGATAACTATACTTACATATCATAACAGTAAGTCCATCCAAGTCCTATAAAGTGCTAATCAAAGGCTGTAAATGCCTTGTCATTTAACAGATGGTTGCCATCTGCAGAGAACTAAATTAACATTTGGAAAAAAGCACTTTTACATCATCACTCTTAAGAATAAAGGTAATAAATAAGCAAGTGGATAATGAAGTAGGTACGTGCCATTATTTTAGCACCCATTATGATAACTACTCATTATTTGTAATATTTTTTTTTCTTTTTCATAAGTAATTTAAGTCCTTTATCCAAATGTATTTCAGAGTACACCACGACAGCTATTACATGCCTAGGCTATGTATTTGCACAGGCTAGATCTTATTGCAGTGGGGAAAATCTCCTCTCTATGCACCTATAAATGCCCATCATAATGGGATTAAAATAGCCCCAGGCTTCAACATGTTCATCCCTTGTTTTCTCCCAACATTTTTTCTGTAAAATATCCTTTTCTCTTTGCACTGAAACCTATGGTGGGTATCAGCTCCATGCATTTTTGGTTTGGATTCATTTCACTTTGGCATTCAAGTATGGGAGGTGATTACACGCCCAAGTCAGTCAGTTGAGAGATCCCTGCATTCCCCTTCCAGCAGCAGAAAGACAATCCACTCCAAAATGTGACTCATAAGATATAGACTTATATCTTATATCTTATATGAATTATTCCCTGCCCTTCTCTCCATGACATAGAGAAGTTTTTATCATCCAGTACAGAAAACTGGAATATGAGGTTGGATTCAAGTTGATCTGAACCCAAATTTAACTGTACATGCAGGTTTTTTTGGCTATATCCTTGGCTGGTAAGAATTGGTAGAATTGCACTGACCCTACAAACCTGGCCCTGCATTTCACATATTCCCACTAAATACAGTGAAACATCCCAAAATTCAATACAGATCCCATAATACATTTTTGGACCAGAGACAATTAGTAAAGTTGTTTCTAGGCTTTGATGTGTAAACCCATCATATGTCACTGTGCTCTAATTAAATCTAAGTGGTGCAATAGATTTCCTGTCACAAACACAAAGATCCCTCATGTGCTGGGACTGCCCAGGACAGCTTGCTCTAGCACACAGAAAAGCAGCTCTGGGAGAGAGGAAGGAACCAGTCACAGAAACATATGGATATGGAAAGATGAAGCTGATCAATGGAATTGAAAATGTTTCACTACAAATAATTAGGAATTTTCCACTGCAGTAATTTTTCATAGGAAAATGATGAGCTGCTGAATTCAAATTGTGTGACAAATACATTTGCACTGATGAATTTTTTTGGAAAAAAATTAAATTCTTCGCCTTTCTATAAATACTGGACTTTCTAAAAGATTTGAAGATGGAAATTTTTACCCCATCTATTATCAAAACTAAACTCCTTCTATGAGGGTCTCATATTCAAATTAAAAAAAACCAAACCATCTGACTTCTGAGAGATTCACAGCTCCAAAAATGCTACAAATGCTGTGACATGGGCAAGCTTCACAGGGAAGTTTATCACCAAAGATCTGTGTTTTTCTTAGGATGTACCTTCATCCAGGGTAAACTTCACCGGAAATCTACCACAGCACATGGAAAACTTGTTGGCTATTTCACTACAGTGGCTGTTTAATAAGAAATAATCTCATGACCTGCCCATTGTTAAGTTCTAAGACACTGGTGCCCTGTACAAGCAACCTCAACAGGGACTAGAACCTGGCAATAGGGAATGCTACAGTCTGGACTTGTGCACCCCAGGGCACTGGAGAATCTGCACAGCCTCTGCTGTGATTTGCCCCTTCCTCGACACAAAAAAAGACAATGAAGCACAGTAAGAATCTGCACTGTTGTCTTTTGTTCTAAAAACATCTCCCCTCAAATCCCACAAATGTTACGTTTTATCTGCCATGCAAAAAGCCTTGACCTCACAAACTCTGGCTATAATCCTGACTAATAATGGAAATCTCCCTCTGATAATTTAAATATCACGCACAGCGCAACAAACAAACTATCTACACCAGGAACTGTTGAGTCAGAAATAAAATAATCAGTTAATTGTGCTTTTCTGGAATGGATGACTGTATAATATCCTAATCAGAAGGCTGAAATCACATTTGCATTTAGATAAAGCTCCGTTCACAAAGAGACAAGTATAGAAGGAGACACTGAGACTATTGTGGCATTTCTCTGTATTGCATAATCATTTACATTCCTGATAATGATATTCAGATAGTGAAGCAAAAGATGACCAAAGCCAATTAATCTTCACTCTGCATTGGCAGGTTTGGCAATTGACCCCGTGCACAGCAGAACCCTGATGAAGCTGAGATGATACTGTGCCACTGCTCTCAGTTTACTTTTTTTTCTACTGTGGTGTTTTTCCAGCAAATCCCCACAGTTCAGCAGTTATGATCCCAATCCCTCTGAACTAGTTAAACAGCCAACAAAGCTGGGCTCCAGAGACTAGAAGTGTTAATTAGAGGACTGCAAGAGTTACCTGAGCTGTTGCTGTTTACAGCTTGGCTCCCCTTTCCCCCTCTGCCCTCTCTTTCCCCAGTATCCAGGCTAGAGATGTGTTATACTACTTTGAAGTATTACACCCTCAGAAGTCTTAACTCAAGAATTTATGATTCCCTATCCTTGTCAAACCTCATGATCTCAGGAAAAATAAGAATGCCAAAATAAGAAAGGCACTGAAAGTCTTTTGAAACCTCTTTAACCGCAAAACATCTTAGTTCATGTTGTGACATCAGTCCAGGAAGGCCCCCAATTGAACTGCTGCTACCCAGAAGGTTCTTACTCTTTGGTCACAGCCGTCCTTCCTTCCAGGTTTCCCAGGTTCAGGCCTGTGAGTCCCGGCCAGAGCCTGCAGCAGGGGCAGAACCTGCTCTGGGACACAGCTGCTCTCGCTGCCCGTGAGCGTGTCACAGCTCCCCTCAGGCCCCAGTGGGTCCCAGGAGCGCCCAGGGCACGTCCAGGGCAGTGTGAGGGGCTCTGCTGCCCCAGGCAAACCAGCCAATGTCTGTCTGTCCGTCCGTCCCTGCCTGCTCACAGCCACTCGGTCTCGGAACGCTTGGCAGCCCCGGGCACGGCTGCCCTGCAGCCCCAGCCCTGCTGTGTGGGTGAGCACGGACAATGCTGCAGTAACTTCCCAGCAGCCACATCTCGCCGGCTCTTACTGAGATCTGCGCGTTTGATGTGATCGCTTCTGACGAGCCGGGGCCCGGCATTGTTGGGGTTTTGTCCTTTCTAAACACGAGCTGCAAAATCCCATTGCATGAGTGATGGTAGCTGGGCCTGTTCTGTTCACTTCTATTTCTGCTCCTCTCCCCTTTATGCTTGATGCATGAGGCAGAAGCAGTGTCAGGTGACTGTGCAGAACAACTTGGGGGCATAGCCCTGCAGCATAAAATTTGCTTTACACAATATTTACACTGTGGAGCACATGAAGGATTAAGAACTGGCAAATGACAGATCCCAAAGATCTCTTTGTTGACAAGGAATCACTGCTGCTCGGACATCCTTCATTCAGTTCAACAGCATCAGGATCAGGCCTAATGCTATTCAACAATGTCACCAGTTTGCAAATATAAAACATAATAAATTTTAAATATAATATAAATACAAAATATAGAATTGCAATTGATAAAACTTGAGAATGACAGAGTGCTAGAGCTGGGCATAATGACCAGTTGTATAAATTAACCAAAGCTACAGGGCAGATGTCTTACCTTACACCCTGGTTTGGTATCACACAGCAGAGACATGCAATACTGCAAATAAAATACTCAGGCTTTTGCAATCCTACACCAGTAAGGAAACATGTTGAGGCCAGATTACCTTGTTCTCTATAATTAATAAGCACAATCAGACTAATTAGAGTAATATTCTTTGGTGCATGCTCACTAGTGAGGACAGGAACCTCCCCGGTTTAGGTACAATTCAAACTTCTCCACTTTTTTCTCCTGAAAATGATTCTCCCGGCTTAAAGGAAATTCCAAAAGGCACAGTCTCAAAATAACTTTTTCTTTCCAGCTTTGAATTGGTCAGTTCAACTGCTGTTAAAATTAATTTTCTTCTCAGTGGCCAAATCTGTATTTACCTTTGTGATCATGCCTGAATAGGAATTATCAACTTTAAACCAAAACTGCTTGTTCATTCCTTTCTTTCTTGTAAATATTGTATTTTGAAATGTTCCAGTGCTTAGCTCCAGTTCAGCAATTGTGATTCTCTCAACTGCTTTATGCCAGTTAGTACAACAACTTTCTGGCTGAGCTTGTATCACCTTCTAAAACATCCAACTGGGCACCAAATAAGCTGCCACAACTGTTGCTGACGGACAGAGACCAACTTG